TAATTTAATAAAACGTAAATCAAATATTTACTTTATGCAAACAATATTACGTATTTTATCATAGGAAAAAGTATAGGAAGTATGTCCTATGCTTATTCATATAAATGTGTCCGTAAAATATCTACAATTTTTGTAAGAAAACTTTCTTCAAATGAATTTCCAACTGTAAAGACAGTTTATTAAATTATGTTTGATTTAGATATGCCGTAATCTTCATGAATTGGCAAAAATCTATCTTGGAATAAAAAAGTAATGATGAAGTAACGATGTTATTTTGGGGAAAAAAGCCATACAACTTTTAGTATCATTTATTCATTTACTGGAAGCCAAATAGTTGATCGCATAGTGCTGTATAATTAATTATTTTATACTAAACTACCATATCTATCCGCATTGACATTAAATCTGGTAATCAGTTTATAAATACACGTTCATTTGTATACATACAAGATTTTACACAAGTTGCATATATGACAGTGAAAGTATTATAACTGATATCGTCTCTTTACGACTAAATATATTGTATTCTAAATATTTCTCTATACTTCTTGCACGGGTTTATTAGAACACTTCTGTAAGTTATAAATAATTACGTAGTCAAATGAATACTAAATGTAATTGTATAATCTATGTTTATTAGAACACTAATCTGATGTATAAAATCGTAGTCAAATGAATACTAAATGTTTTGTTTATTCAATGTTAATTAGGGCAGTAATGTAAGGTACATGTAATTATGCAGTCATATGAATACTAAATGTATTATATCATTGTATATACTCAATGTTTATTAGAACACTTATGTAAGGAATATATAATTACATTTTGTACTTGTGTTCATATAATTGACCTATATTTAACACAGACATTACGACCTCGTAGCATGATGTCCTAGTTTGCTCTATATTTTGTCCTTTCTCCCTGTTTATCTTTTATTTATGTTCCAATATTAGAGTAGCGAATATATCGAATCTGAAATTTACAAGAGTCATATTTTGGTTTAATCTATACACTTTTGAATAGTGATCTTTTCAATAGATTTCATTGTTGATATTATTTGATATCTTTGTTTATATGTTTCTGGATGGGTGTTTGGTCACAAGGACATGATACATAAAGGGACGTGGCGATTTTCAAGCATTATATGTTAGGGAATGAAACATCAGTTGCCTCTTCATCACAATCGTATACCGGATTTGAAATTCAGTAAAGGTCTCTACAGACGTAAGGATTTAGTTGTACGACACTAATTAGAGATATGATGTACAATTTTCAAAGCAATACAACACTTGCATTCAAACCGTAATTCTGCGTTGTAGGAATCATCAGGTTTCCCTAAAAAAACAGTTCCCTCCTTTGATCCCTTGCATACTTTACTCACTATGAGTCATGATTGAACCACATCCATTAAAAAATTGTATAATTGTCACAGGGCGAGATTAATGTGCAGCTCGACCGAGACTCGAACCTTGGACACTCGGAATGCCGTACTGCGACTCTAAGGACTGAGCTTTCTGGTCGCCTACAAACTACCTCCTCTGATTAGAGAACACTTCAATACTGCAACATAATTATTTTCTGAATAATTTTGGGTTCGAACATATCACAACTTTGGGTAATCTGAAGAGTTTTTCAACATCATTTTTACCCCCATCTTACTACTATGTTTACCTTTTAGCCCTTATTGTTCTGGAATTTCATTCATTAAACACATTATCAGGGGATAATTGGGAAATATGTCACCTGTCATCGTGGAAGGTCTTAAGACATAGAACATGTCCTATCTTGTAAATCTAATATTAAGTTGTATGAAATTAAGAAAAAGTAGCCTTCGCACATTAAGATTTGCTTGTACTTCTTAGTTTTAATTGGTGTTGTACTGCCAAATCCTACCGTCTGATGAGGCCTTAACTGATCGCTTTATAACGTAAGAGACATTAATATGTAGATTAATAGAATTGAAAGACAGTTAATTTACTTTATTTGTTTTTTATTAATGCTGCATCAACTGACGAAATAAATTAATGACATCGCCATGAGAAACAGTTAAGTTAAAGTAGAAACGTTATTAATTATCAGTTAATTATTTGTTTTAATCAATTATTTTGTAGACATTTTTTAAAACAAAGATGGTTATACATGATAAAAGATATCAGCTTTGTATCTTATTGTATGTTTATTACAGACTGTTTTAAGGAAATAAGTGGGTTTTTTTATCAAGATAATGCAATCGCTCACGGTAACACTGGACACTGAATAGGAGAGCTGGATAGATATGATTTGAAAACTCCTACTTGACTATGGACTTTCAGTCGGTTAAAAGGCATTCGAATAGTTTATAGCACACACAAGAATTGTAATTCAATGAAACGTCTATTTGGGACATACATTATATTTTGTCATCTTAGAGCGGGAAAGTCTTGTGAGAGACGTAAGTAGATGGTTAATTAAATTAGGAGTAATAAGACCATATTTAAACGTGTCACAAAAGTCATTCAAAGACCATTCTTGCCCTTTTTGTGACATTTTTATAATCGATTTACGGTTTGTTTTATCTTTCCAAGATGATAATGTGTAGGCATGTCTTCTAGTTTATATTATAGTATCTACATCATCTTTTATGAACAGATGTCATACCTACGAGTTAATGTTACCGATTTTTTTTATATATTTAGAGATATTTGGTTTTTCATTTAGCATATCAAAAGGCATATAATGTTTGAAAAATAATAGTTGATTTAAAGGTGTATTTCTAGTGACCAAGAAATATTTCGTGTGTAAACAGATTAGGTGAATTATATATTTAAAGCATTAAAAAAAAGAACAAAATACCGGTTGGGCCATGTTTTACTTATATCAAGTTATTTACTATTATAGTTTTCCGTTAGTATAACCTTATGTTAATTAATTGTTATTTGAGCCTCATTGTACTTTTATTCATGTTTGTCACCTCGTTGTGTCAAGTTTGAACATGGATTGAGAGAAATAGATGTTGTTTTTTTATTTGACTTATAAATATAAACAACCAAATACATAAAAAGCTATTACAACCTACAATATTAACATCTTTAGATTCTGTACACTTTCAATCATTAGTGGGAAAAAGAAATGCATTTGAAACATAAATTGGTATGCTGGCAATATTTTGCGGCAACAAAATATCTAAAATTAGATTAAGAAAAACACACTATGTTTTGTATTAATATGCAGCAAATTGCCAAAACATTTTAAACAATTTAACTCGGACTAATATAGTTGTCAGAAATAATCAAAGTTGGCTCCGCATTAAATAATGTAATTATTCTGCGTGTCATCATTTTTACTTTTTTGTGGTATTGCCGTGCTTCTCGAGGGATTCTCTATAATGCACGTGCATTTAACTGACAACTGCAAGTAAAAAGTGCTATTAAGCGTCTGTACCTTGTTCTTTATTGATATGTTTATTTTTTCTAGTCCTTCCAAACCGTTGGTTTTTAAATAGGTGTATTGGCGGTGCTTTGGGTTGTGAGTTGCATTGCTTTTACTACTGACGCTCATGACATAGTAAACCCAGGATGGCATGCCTCAATCTTTTTTACACTATTCTTAAGGGCCACCATTTCCCAACGTTGATATTACAACAGCAGTAGCTATTTTGAAAGTTCGATAATTTGATATCAGTTGATTCGGTGCTACCCAGCATGAATTAAGCTGCAGTTACCTACTAAGCTGATGAATATACAAACTCAAATGCATTCATATTTTGCTTTATTTGCATTATGGGGGTCTCCACTACCTTCCAATATATTTTCACTTTGCAACAACGCTTCATTTTATAATATACCATACTAGATCTTCTCGTATTTAGTGTATTATAATTACATGTATCTATAGTCCATTTAATTTTCTTTTATTTATTTTCATAATTGATTTAAATTTCTGACAGTTATTCCGTATTGAAATTAAATATAAAGGCATGCGATATTGTCTGCTTTATTTGCAATCCTTGAGGTTGAATGTTTACGAAGTAAATAACAACTTTTTATTTTGCTTGGTAAAGAAATTGCCGAAAACATATTTCTTTTAATTTAAACATGCATTACAAATTAATTTAATAATTACGTCAAATCTTTTGATAATAATTGGTGTAATGTTAATGAAAGGCCTTTTAACAAAAAAAATGTATCTTCCTGTAATATTTTATAAAAATTTTACTTATTCAACATAAGTTGCACTGCAATGACTAAACAGAATTATTGTCTTATTTTCTTACTGCATCTCTATATTGTAGGTGATTGTGGATATTGCTCACGTGCTGCATCAATTTATATATATCAAAATCACATATGTCATAAAACCTGATAATGGCGTCTTTATGCCTTTGGTGACACTTATTATCTAAATTTGGGCGTCTGTGGACATTAACTTAATCTTGGTTTAGTCGGGGATTTACCGAACAAGCATTAAGAGCTCGGCGTCTGATTATAATGTCATAATTCTATATTGTTTAAAACAAACCACCTCTTTGACAGCTGGTACTTAACATATGCATGACGTAATTTCAAGTATTTTTTCTTCCGTTTTCTAAATAAAAATCTGGAAACAAAGTGACCCCCCCCTCGGAAGCATTAATCACAACAAAATTACAAGAGAATTGCAGACTCGGTTTGATTGAGTCTGCACATGAGGGATACTGAATAAGTGCAACAACCCTCACGCCCTCTAGCACCGGCTTGAGCGGTACTCAATTCTCAACGCCTAATAGTGCTGGCATTATTAAAGGCGCATTCTGAGTAATATTATTCTATATGCATAAATCAAAATACATGTAGGTGTCATTATTCTATAAGCTCATATTACAATACGCGCATAATTTGTGACCTATTTTGTGTATTTTTCATAATGTGCGGCCTACTAGCGCATATGGGAAAATAGGCGTTTGAAAACTATACGCTTATATTCGAGGTTTTGCAGAATTTTCAAACATACACACAAAAATGTACATTTTTTTTTCTTTCCAGAAACACGAATAAACAAGCATGAGAACAGCAAGCCAAAAATCTTCTTCAAAAATAATGACTGTTGTCCTGGTTTCCTTGATGACGTTGCTAGGTTACGCATCAACCTACAGATTAGTATCGAAAAGTGGATCAGGAATACCGTGTGCAAAATGTGACACTGAAGCGATTCACCCATTTCAAATGAAAAAACTAGCCCCTATTTGTGGTGCATGTGGCGATGTTTTCGGGCATGGATACGAACATTGTTGTTTGTGCCACGAATACTTTTTGGAACAGTGTATGGCCGCATTTTAGCCCATTACCCAGGCAACTGTTGAATGGGAAAAAACGCATCCAAATAAAATATCTACGTCTATAAATTCAGAGTCTAACATATCATTTAAATGTGTTTTAAACATTTATTTGAAACTTCAAATAGGGCAAAAATGTTTTGAAAAAAATAAGTTAAGAGTAAAAGGAAAAATTCTGATAATCTGGATAATCATTGACTTTTTCATTCCTTCAAAATACAAAATAAGTATAAGCAGAAACAAGTTTGAATAACATTGTGTGGTTTAAACCAATTTCAGCTGTTCACCCTGATTTTATATCATTTAAAATAAATTGACAATATTTTAAAATTGCAAGAGACAGTAAGAACTTACATTAGTTAAATAAATATTTGAACTTTCCTTGTATTAATTATTTATCAATTAACCTTTGCGACATGTTTAAACAAAAGAAAGGTAAAGAAGGTTTGGAAGTTATGTATATACGAGAGTTATTTACAGTCACTCGAGTCAATATTTCTGTTTGAATACAGTTAAATGAGTAAATCCTCTATAAAACCATACATATATCTATTTGAAGGTCAATTTTAATCCGACACCCAGTGTCACAACCAAACCTAAGGATGATCTGAACTTGAACTTAAGCAGTGCGAGCTGGACGTATACCCTGCTTGGCACATCCTCCCCCAGCCCCCACAACACCACCGATATAATATCTGCTCTTTTCCGCTGCTACCAATAAGCATTGTCCTGGAAGTTGAGACCGGGTAACAGTCGATGTGTGCAGTGGTGGTTCTATCATGATGACCCTTCATGTCTTCAATATTATAACGTGCATACATTGGCACGGGGGTTTCTTCCACAATCACAAAGCAAGAAATGCTCAATTTAGCTTATATGAGTGACGGAGCATTCTAATGCGCAGAAGAGACTTAAATAAAACCATACATGTAGTGATTTTGCACTGGGCATTCCTTTCATGGTAAACTTTACCGTACAGTTTTATTTCAAGCTTTGTGTTTCTTCTTTCTCCGTTCTACAATTCTTTTTTCTTCGCCATTGTGTATCACATAAAAAATGTAGAATAATCCATATAAGGTAAAAGTAGAGTTAATTAATACAAAGGCCCATATATAGGCATATTGAGTATGGTCGTTAATTTGATATGGGAATATAATGACGCAAACCTTCATGTTGCTTTCTAAAAATGATGACTTAATTATCTCAAGATATGGGTAAGCATACGAGAATGCTAAAATAAGACAATAATGAAAAGACTCTTAACATGGAAACAAGAATAGCGCAAGAAAGGGAATATTTTGATCTGGAAATAAAGAAAAAAAACCTTTTATTTGCTTTTCTTACCCGATTTGAGTTTAAAAGCGTAGCAACGCATTTTAAGTCATTTTTTCACAATTAGAATAATTATTCTTGGAAAACTGATTGAGCGAATGATCTGAATTTATGCTCACAAGTTATTGAATAGCATGGTATGGGATATATGAGCCGCGTCACGACAAAACCAACATAGTGGGCTTGCGACCAGCATGGATCCAGACCAGCCTCCGCATCCGCGCAGTCTGATCAGGAGCCATGCTGTTCGCTATCAGTTTCTCTACTTGTTATAGGGTTTGTAAGCGAACAGTATGGATCCTGATCAGACTGCGCGGATGCGCAGGCTGGTCTGGATCCATGCTGGTCGCTATCGCATTATGTTGGTTTTGTCGTGACGCGGCTCAAATTTAATACCTTTTCCACTCTTGGTCTAATACTAACCTCGATCACCGGTTATTGAATTTTCTAACCGGTCACGGTCTGTAAAACCGACCGAACCCGTGGAAATGGAATTCAATAACATGCCACCCCTAATTGAAATCTGTTGTATCATTAACTGTTGAACAATCATCGTTTTCACTTCATGTACTTAATAGACTGTTATCATATACAGAAACATACATCGATTTGCATTTACAAAGATTTGAACCTCCGATTCCTGAGTAAAGATAAAAATATAAACAACACAGCCAACGTTTCTATCAAAATTTTTCATTCAGTCATGTTTAATTGAAACCACCTTCCTAACGCATTTCTTATAATTACAAGGACGAAAATTTCATAATACGATTAACTGTAATGGCGTAATGACATTATGACGTCAATTTTTAACAGCTCCAAAATCACTCTACGCTTTTAATGGATCTGTTTTTTCTTCTTTAGAAGAGTACTTTTTCGGAAATTGTAATAGGACACCAAAGTTAAAAAAACAGTACATGTATGTGTTTTCTCCCAAAACTGTACTAAAAGATATCAAGGATTGTTGTGAAATGTCCATTCTTGTATCTTTAAAGTCATTGGCCTAATTAAAACCTATTTCCGAGCATTGACGGACATAGATCATTTGCTCGATAATAAAGAAGTATCCTATCACCGTAAACCGGTCATTAGATGACTGTATCATGGTACGGCATTTATCTGACGTGTTTTCAATTACAAATACTCCCGTTTTATTATGGTAATTACATGGTTTACAACAGTATACGTATTTAAATGTCATGATTTTTCTTAAATGTGGAGTAAGAATAATAGTTAACAACGGAATTGATCATCCACGTGAAAAACAATCTATCTATTCTCCCAATTAAGATTCTTACATTTTTATGTTTACAGACATGTAAAAGCACAATTAAATTGCAGTAGGCCTTATCTTTGTTTAAAATCCAAAAGACATTCAGTTCAATACCAGACAAACGGGTTCGCAAGTCATTTGATTATATCAGAGATTTGATATAAACTGTTTTCTGATAAAATTGAAGAAGAAAGAGTCAAAATATCCCGATTTTAAATAATATTAACGCAAACCAATAAAAAAAGCTCAGTAATTTTAACAGGCTGCCGTCCTGTATGTTAGAATGACGCATATAGACCAAATGCTATAATTTGTTTTTTACAAATTAATATAATGCTTGGCTATAAGTGTTATATCATTCAAGTGTTTAATACTGAGAGGACCAAGCCTTGTCTATGTAACTTTTAACCATATAAAACTCAGTGCTTGGCATCTCCCATTTAATAATATAGAACCAGGAGAGACTGCACAGATGTGCTGTTGGATTAGTCACAAGATCTTTATCTTCATACACATGTAAATGATTAAGTACATTTCCAAACATGTGAGAGATTTAAGAAATTCAGCAGGTTATGAGTTAACACGAGGCACATGTCCCGTCAGTTTTGGAATAAAAAACATGTGCCAATTTCAAACTGTTTTGTTTCAAGTCACCACCGTTTCGGTTTTTCATTATGCCAATTTTTAAGCTTTGCTGGTGGAAAAAAAAAAGACACGCCGGTGTGGACAGTGTCCTTCAATTAATTACACGTATTTCAAAACACAGGGAGCGAATTAAAATAACTAAAACTAAATTTACAAAACGAATGAAAGAATTCGCCTCAAGTGAAAATCGTCCCAGGCGGGATCAATCCCGAATCCACAGGAGTACGTTATTCCATGTTTGGTGAGCTCAAACATTTGGTGCGGCTGGCTTCGTGGCAAAATTGTTTTAAAAAGGCAGTGGTCTGAAATTGTAATACCAAATTCATACTCTGGAAAAGTACAACAAACAATACCTATCTCCCTTCCATAGCAGCTTCACAGAAACATATTTTCCAACATGTGTGGACCAAAATAAGGGAGAACAAGAGAAAAGAAGAAACCTGGTTTTTCAGTAATTTATTTTTTTTAAGTAAAATATGAAATGAACAAATGATTGCATATCTTAACTAACGGTGTATTATCTACAGATGACAAGAAAAAATATGTCGCACAGTACGTAAAGAAAACAATTACAAGTCAATACAATATCCAATTAAACTATATAATGTATCTTATTGTTTAGTTTGGTTAAGTTTAAATCAGACCATTGGATTTAATAATGAACAATTTAATAATGAAGAAAGAAAATCAGGTAAACATTCACAAAGTTACTTTAATGTCAGATCAAGCTGGCAAATAAGTACCAAAAAGACACCACCAACCTTCGAAAGCTAGCTGCATACCCTCTTCTTCACACGTAAAGAATCAGTAATTATCAGACAGGGGATTTAAACCTTCAATTATCAGGGGCAAAAAAAAAAACCCAGCTATGACCTTAAACAAACACTTTTAATAAAAAGAATCAAAAGTTTAAATGTCTCATGTATTTGCAACTGCTCATTTTATTAAGTCAAGATTCAATAGAAACCAATATATTTTATATATATATATAAATAATTATTATTTATATATAAGTGATGCTTTGACAACACCTTGATTTCTTCTTGGTATCATATAAAAATTTACTAGTACTTCAATAGATATTTTTAAGTAAAACATGAAAAGAAATCAAATAAAAATAACTGCAAAAATAAAACATTTAAAGCATTTAAAGTAACTAATTCCATAAGAATTTGTGCTGTAAATCTTGTAACTTTGACAATAAGGTTCGATTGACATATTATACATGTATATAAAAGATGTCTTAAACATCCATGATACCCAGTTTTTTTGTTGCAAACTGGGTGTTGTTATGTAATGGTGGGTGACACAGACCCAACAATATCTCTGACAAAAATATCACTAGAAAAAGTTTATAAAATTGATAAAGCTTTCCAAAATACTACTTACTGCATCCTTTATGATTAAACATCAGGATGAAGGAAAAACAATAAATTCAGTTATTACAAATTAAATTCAGCAACATGAACTCTGCACACATTAAATACAGAATAAAAGCAAGCAAATGAAAAACTATTACAAACTTTCATTAACAAAGTTTTTCACAAGGCAACCAATCATAATATAGTCTTATAAATAACCATGTTTAACTATTTGTAAAACTGGTGAATTAGTTTTTAATTTTACTCATTTATTAGTCTGATCAGTTAAAAAAGACAGGCGTCTTATCTTTATATGGTAATAGCAGCATTTAAACTTTCAAATGAGACTGGTTCAAATTCACCTCAACAAATACTTGTTCATAAAGTTTAACAGACAGTTTTTTTGATACATATTTTAAGAGACAAAAATCTCAGGAAAGTGGCGCTCCAATTTTCCCATAGTAAGTTTTGTATGTTTCACTGTGAAAATTCAAGAATTTCATCTAGTATCAATATCACTTTATTGGCAGAAGTATCAGACAGCAGCAGCAAGTACAAGTTTCAATTTAAATATTCCTTTTTTAATTCACTCCAGACACAGACAAAAATGGAATTAACACTAAACTGTTGAATATAAAAACGAAACAAAAATTTTAACTTTATTTGAAGGTAACAAAAAAAAAAAAAACACCCAAAAAAACATGACATTTGATAGTGCGTAAATGTTCCGATAGGTGATTATATGAAGGCGTATTTCTTACGATTAAATG